AACCCAAGCCAATTCAAGCAAGAACAAAGGAATTAGGGGCTGTTCTTACCGAAAAAAATGCCCAGAAATCACCCACAATCAAGAGCAGCCGGCGGAAGGACAAAGCAGAGCAGGGCAGATCCGGCTTTTCCAGCAGGGGGGGGAAATTTCTGGGTTCTAGGTGTGTTCTAGAGCAAGGAAAGAAGGAGAAATCCAAGCTTATCTCACCGGTTTCTCAAAGGCATGGCTGGGTTCTCTTTGTTCTTTTCCTCTCGGGTTGCAGCGGGAAGACAAGAGCAGAAACGGGCTGGAGAAGAAAGAGGAAAAGGGAGAAAAGAAATAAGCCATCCTTATCCAAAATTCTACTCTTTTAAGCCCCTCAGCTTTCAGAATATTCACATTAGGCCCCAAAACAATCTTTTCTCACAATCAAGTCCTTAACTTACACTTAAATATTCCCAAAAATTTTAATTTTTTCGTCCAATTAGTAAATTTTATTTATTAAGCTAATATATTTTTCACTATAAATTAATATAAAAATAAATATATAATAATTATTTAATATTATTAAAGACAAAAAATAAAATTGAAACTAATTAGATAAGTACTAATTAAAAACTATTGCCAAAAATTAAAAAATTAAAAAAAATTGTCTATAAAATTAAAAAATTTCATTCTACTAGTGGTTTGTACAAAAAGTTACCTTAAATAATTTTTTTAATTCACTAACAGTTTAGATTCTAACCACTATTCGCTAGTCTCAAACTGTTAAATAAAAAGTTTTATCAAATATCCAATTTGTAATAATTTGGATATAAATAAATTTCCTAAACACCTTTTCTTAGTAATTTAGGCAAAACTGTCAATCATTACCTTCAAATTGCTTCAAATTGCTATAACAAATAAGTTCTTAATTGTTTAGATGTTTGTTCACAAGTACTATCATCCATTACTATAAAAGAAATTAAGTACGGAAAAAAGAGAAAAGGAAAACTAAAAAAATGACATACTAAAATATTATTAAATGATATAAAATTATTATATAAGGAGTTTTTATATCAAAGTTTAAATGACTTATTGACGACGCCTTTATACTCTAATAGCCACCTTGTCTTGTAAAAGTTTCACATGCTAAAAATTTGAAAGTGTTAGATTTGAATCCCACTCTTAACATTCTAAAACAAAAAAAAAAAAAAAAAAAAGAAAAGAGAAAAAATGCTTTTGGAAATTTGCCCTTGCCATGTGGCCGAAAAAAAAAAAAATGAAAGAGAAACAATGCTGTTGCTAGAAATTTGCTCTTGCCATGTGGCTGCTTACATGGCAACACGTGATCCCGTATGTAGAATTTTGTTAACTTTGTTAACAGAGTTACGTGGGTTAGACGAGAACAAAATAGTTTTGGAAGTTAATAGATGACTTTGAAAGAAAGTAAAGTATATATACTAAAATGAAAAAAAGGTAATAGTTAATAGATGATTTATTAAATTAAGCCAGAGAGCCAGTGGCATAAACCTATAAAATGTTCCTGAATTTACTGACTTTAAAGATATTTACCCCTGAATTTATAATTGTAAGTTTGATACCCTAAACTTGAAAGTATGAGGATTTATACTAGCTTAACCCCTTATTTAAGTTTTAAGTTCTAACCTCTCACCTAAAAATTTAAAAATATTAGTCCTTAACAATATGATTTAAAGGGATTCATCATTACTTAACGAATTTTAATGCTATACTATTAATCAAACGTTATTTTTATCCTAATCATCTCTATCCTACATGGCATTTTACTATAGCAATGCCACACTCTGTCATAATAATTTTTTTAAAAAATTGTTTAAAATCTCAAAAAAAATAGATAATTCAATTTTTTTCAAAATAGAGTCGATATTAAATTAAGGGAGAAATTTTTGTTGATTACTATGATGGCATGTCACGTAAGATAAAAATACTCATTAACTAAGATGAAAATAATCTTTGATTAGCAGTATAAAATTAAAATCTATTAAAGAAAGGTAAATCCCCTAAAATTATATTACTAACAAGTTAATACCCTTAAATTTTTAGTGGAGGCCACTAACCTTAAAATCTATAAATTAAAGGGCTAACTAGGGCATTTGGCCATTATACCGACGGAACACGTTAAGTCTCCAATACAATTAAAATAAATAAATGCAGGAGTAGCCCTCAAAGAATAAAAAGGAAACAATCAAGCCCCAAAAGGTTTAATGCGAAATTTTGCCACATTTACAAAAACAATATTAGATATTTCTAATCAAATTAAGTAAGTAGCTTAATCTGAAGAAAGAATTATAACGAAATTTTCTTAACTAAGTTAAGATAAGGTGTCTAAGAGACTTAAAGAAAAAATTCAAATAATAGAATTGTATGATTATATAATTGATAGTTCAAATTTAGAGAAAAAAAAATAAATTAATTAAGAGAAATTGTTATTTTACTAACATCAACATGAATAATGAACAAATAAATTTAACTAACTTGTATTTACTCAAAACATTGGGTAAAAATCATATTAGTATAGAAGATATAACTATTATTGTTAGGATTTTAGAAATGAAAACTATTAATGAAAATACTTTAAAAAAAAAAAAGAGAAAATCTCTTTCTCAAGAATTTGATTCTATTATGAAAAAAAAATAAGTAATGTAAAGAATTCTAAAGATCTAAAGGAACTAAAGAAAGATATATAGTCTTTTAGAAACTTGAAAACTTTAATAGCTCGAATGAGAGAAATAGAGATTAAAGTAAAAGAAATTCTTAAAGTATTAAATGTAATTGCTGAAAAGTTTGCAATAAAAACTTAAAATGTATAATAAAATAATCTCACAACTTGAAAGTGATAGAGATAGAAACTTTTATAAGATCCAAACTTAACTCAAGAATCAACAAGATATTATAATATCAATCTTTAGTAAAAGAAATACTGGAGATAAAAATGAAAGATTTAAAATCATTCCAAAAATTTTCATAGAAAAACCTAAATTCAAAATAATAACACTTTTTGCATTAAAAACTCAAGAAGAAAAATTGAAGGAGCTGGAACAAAGATTTTTGGAGGAGAAAGATGTGAAAGAAATAGATGACCTATGCAAACAAATTGCAATAATTACTAAACAATTAGAAAATATGAAGATGAATATGCAAAAGGAAGGCAAGGAGACAGTGAGAGAGGAAAGTGGAGAAGAAAAAGATGATAAATGACTTAATATAACTCCAACAAAACTTCCAGTGCAACTTGGAGTAGAAACAAGTGCCAATTAGGATTTTAGAAGAAATAGGAATCAAATGAATGAAATGTTAAATGATAGAAAATACAAGAGTTTTGGAAATTAGATTAGACTTGAAACACCAATTTGAGTCAAAGAACATATGATTAGTACCAATGGTGTTTGGTTAGATCTAAAATGTGTAATTGACATGGAGAAAGCCATTAGTAATTGGGTTCAATCAATATGGATTGTCATAGAAAATAAAAATTGGACTCTTTTGTAAACTAATAGATTCATTGAAATTACCTTTAAGGGAATAGTTCATGATTGATTTTCTGGCCTATCTCATGAACAAAGCAACACCATTATAAGTGGAAACCCTGTTTCAAATGAAGTAAATAAAAATGAAGCAATTCATGATGTAATAACCAAATACGAAGTAGCAATACGAAAAGAATTCTTAGGAGAAATCTCAAAAGAAAATCTAGAAAAAGAAGAAGCCAAATTTGGAAGAATAGCTAATGCTTGTCATTAGCCTTGCTCCTATGAATACCATAAAGATTTCATTGTTAAAGCCATAAATCCATGTCTTCTTCGTATCTATCATACAATAAAAGGTTTGAAGTAGAACTTTGAATCCAATGGCTTTTCTTTCTTGGATGAATTCTATTCCACAAAGGGATTCTTCAAATTCTTAATAGATTTGATTTTCTTTTGCTTCTATATTAGCCTTCTTGGACTAAATTCCAATTTGAACTATATGGTGACTGGGAAAGTATTGAAACTTTTTCCATTCTGGTATTGTAGAGTAGACCTTGATGAAGACTACCCCTTAAGTTTTGGGACCAATTTTAAAGTCTGTCACACCTTGGTGTATCACCTTTGGAAGTTCTGAAATTTCCTCTTTATTTTTGAGAGATAAATACAGTTTACAAAACCATAATTGAATAATTCTTTAAGCTTTGCATAAAATTAATTTTGAGATAAATATCTTCATAACTAGGGTGACAATTCTTAGCAGGCCTCATTGAATATGCCATTCTATAAATTTTGTGGTATTTCTATAGATATTCTTCACTCATTATCATCTTAGACAAAGTTCCTATTATAGTAACTTTTTTTTTCCTTTCTTTTTTAAGTAATCAAGTCAAAAGTTATGCTTTTTGACATTTTGAATAGTCGGTTTTTTAGCTTGAAATGTTGATATTTTTGGAGAAGAGTATTTGACATAAAAATCAAATTTCCTTACCCTTCGTCGTAATAATTCTACTGTTTAACTTGTATATTTTCGATTTTAATTTTAAAATGCTTTGATAATAAAAAAAAACTAATTTTTTTTTATTTTATTTTTAATGACTAATAATTTTTTATGATTAAAATGACAGTTGGTTTCTAAATCCTTAAATATTCTACTAACATATTTGAAATCAAA